GACGACATCAAATTCGTGACCCTAAATATCCGATTTATTAAACTCGTGTAACTATATATATTTGTTCATTTAATACTCGGAACAAATAAAAAAAATGCTTATATCTCATTGATAAATCATATTAAACAAATCTATAAAAATATTACAACATTATTTCTTCATTGTAAAATGTCAGTCTATTAGATATGGACGGTGGTTTGAATCCCTGTAGCAATAGTAATTAATATTCTGAAGACAAAATTATCTATGCATTATTTTTAACAGTAAATAACTGTTTGGGTGTATGATCCGTGATACATCTTGATGATTGTGGTAATAAAAACGTGATTTTGCTTACAGGAACAAGACGAATGGTAATAACGAAATGATATTTGTAAGATGTGTCGACAGGACATATTTTTTTTTCAAATCAATCAACATAACCGTAAAGCTTATATTGTATAGAACCATATATCTGATCCGCTGATCTAGTATTACAATGTAAATACCGGGTCCACAATGCGGCACACACACACAATAAAACGCGCGTCATCAACGCACAAATATCGGACACACATACAACAGTATGATTTCGGTAACTTCTGTCGCCATATGGATGTTTCTTGTTGTCCGACAAGTGAATCTAAGTAGCTTAACATATTCACTTGCGGCCGTAAGGTTTCAGTGCGGGTTTCTTTTTCATACAAAGTTAACTTGCCGACATATTTGTTTTGTTCCTACGATGGCGTTATATGCGCATGAAATATCACACGGCATCGATATTGGGTTATCGAGAATCCCTGCCAACTGTGTTTGAAATTATTACCATGTTTCCTATGAATATAGAAAATTATTTAGTATACATCTATTTCTACAGATTAAAACTATGTTTCCAGTCATATATTTGTAATTACTCACAGCTCTGAGCAGATCGGTTTTCTCGAATAAGTTGGATACGACCCTGTCTTACTTATATGCTTGGTATAAAACGTATATCACTCTTGTAATTAAACCAAACTTAATTACCTATTCTGCCTGCGTCATTGTTGTTGTTAATATGAACGCCTACGTGCTCATTTACAAGGTCGCCATATGTACACATTCGTAGCTGTAAACACGTTCTAACTGGTATCATTCCCTAATATTACCATCCGATGTCGAGAGTTATGAATAACGCCCGATAGCACGTAGCTAAGCAAAGTACACACGGTTCGACCAAGACAAATAATGTGAATATTGGCACGTGATTATTTTCACACAGATATCATAACTGTGTCCAAATAACAATGAATCGCGTTTATATGATATGATAGGCATAGAAGCCCCCATATTTAATACGTAGCAAAAAAACATTAAATCAATGAAACGTTTAAGCCAATAATATATTGCGATGTTTTAATTAAAAGAAATAAAGTTAACGCAAAATGAGGTCATTAATACGATTTAAGATCAATTCCTCATTTGGTAATGTCATCAGTCTGTCTTTTAAGCTGAGGAATAGATTTCAACGACCAATATTTGCAGTTATTAGTTATGTCCCGATATGTATACAATTATAACTGTTCGAGAGCGCTTCCTTGTTAACCTATGACAGCGTCCTCAGCGTCGTGATCGTTACAGTAGTCTCCTTCACAGCAGAACACACAGTGACTGCCAACAGTAATCGGGTCTGCATAGCACTCAGGTGGATTCTCGCTTTCAAGTACTGCGCATCGCTGAGAAGGAAATGACACAATCGTTTTATTTTCTGTCAAAAGATATCATGCATGTGGATGTACATTCACAGCATAGCTGGGGCTGTCTCCCTCTGTAGGCGCTAAATTTTGGTTTTCTTTGTTACATTGTCTGCATTCGATAACAAGCTGGTGAAATTAAAACTACATCAAGTTGTTCAAGCCCATATGTATTTACGCTGTGGTATTATATATATAAATTTATCCATATATCTAGCAACGTGAAAGCTATCTCCCCCTTGAGTCGTGTAAAAAGACGTACGTCATAAAACTAAAACCTACCTTTGCAGAAAAGCATCCTCTCCAGTACCTCAGTTTCTTACTGACTTTTTTCACTCGTGTGATACACACATTAGACTAGGATTTAATGAGATATAGAGCATTTATTTAGGTAATGTGCGAATGCACACAACATATATACTCAGTATGACAGTTTTTTGCAAATAATTCGAAACTTATATTTTATTAATTACATTTAGCCGGAAACGTAATTTACCCTTTGGAACATTTGAATGCTTAGTTCGCGGATAAAATAGTCAATTTCCAAACGGTGAAAAAGTTTAGCACGAGTCTTAGTAGTTTTATTAACCCAATGAGTAATTCGAGATGAAAAAAAACAAAGAACATTTATGTATTTAAAGTTGTGGAATAATGAATTTGGTTCCAGGGCAGTATACCATATTACGGTGCAAGTTTATCTGGCGTGCAGACGATGCGATCTAATAGGGTCTTTTTAAACACCGATCACCATGAATTTACATTCACTAAAATAAAATGCAACAGTCGGTCCCTTATATTAAACAAGTAAAAACAAGCGGACACATATTCAAAATATG